GGGTTAAGATTTAGGGTTTAGGGGTTTAGGGTTTAGGGTTTAGGGTGTAGGGGTTTAGGGTTTAGGGCTTCGGGTTTAGGGTTTAGGGCTAGGGCAACAAATCGTGCAGGGTCTACCAGCCCTCAAAATATGGCACTTCAAATCCCCGCTTCAGGGGCCAGAGTTTGCACACGGCCCCCTCTGAGTCCATGTTAGGTTGAGGCAAGGTACAATAAGAAATAATAGGGCTTGGTCAGCTTGAACAGGGTTCAGGGCTCCATCAAAAGCTGACCCAGTAAGGTCAAACTATTGCCGAATAAATTGCAACACAGCCCATTTCTGGGCAAAATCAGAAGGAAATAGCCTGGACTGCAAACTTCAGCTCATAACATTGTAGGCTTCGACGTCGCAGCTTCCCGTCATCAAAGTCCTTCATGGTTTAGCGCACATGACGTAAGCGTTCGGTTGTTATCTTAATTCAGCCTCAAACCGGCCTCCGCAAAGGCATCCCTCTGGCCGGATCCACCCTAAGAAGAAATCTATGTTTGTGCCTCTAGCAGAAGCTCTTATTCTGGGTGTCATTTGGTAAGTGCTTTGTTGTGAAAACCATTTTGGAGGAACGAGAAACTGCGTGAAGGCCAGACGTCCCGAAAATCTGGGTTGCTTGCGAGGAACTTAAATTAAGTACCATATTGCACGTATGTTGTGTATAATAGGGTTTCTTATTGTAGTAGTCTAATTTCGACTTCTTAGCAGCAACCCAGAAAGTGTGGCTCTGCCGTACAGATGAGGGGAGATTCGTTAAATGGGAGGCCCAATGCAGACCCTGAAGAACAAAAGTATAGTCCTGAAAACAGGCACACCCCAAAAGGGGCCCATGCTTTGGAAACCCAGTGGCTTTCTTTACTCGCCGTCTTTCTCGTGGGCATGTTTGGGCATCCCTGGATGAGCATCATGCACCTCAGCCTTCCACAAAACAGCATGAGGAGCGGCCGTTTTGACTTGCAAGCGCTACAGGCTATCCAAGTCAGAAACGATCTATGCACACAAACAACCAGGCATACTTGTGCCTTGCAACTAGTTCTGCTTAAGAGATAGCCAAGGCAAGCGTCCAACACAAACAGGGCTAGTAAGGGGACCCCTGCTTCAAGTCATGGGTATGGACAGAAGATATGCTTGTGGAAACTTCGGAAGCTCACTTTTTGCTGGTCTTGGCAATGGTCTTCTTCACACCGGATGAGCCGGAGACTTTTGCTGCCGGCACTTTCATGACCTCAGTCAAGCTGGAATTACCCTGAAGGCAGATATTCTATGCCTGTAGCTTGTTTCTTCAAATCCTCAGAAGGCTGATGTAACTCCAGACTCTGGTCCTTAGCAAGAAACCAAGGATCTAAGCATGCCATATCCCCCCGTAGCCCTGAAGCCTCCAGTCCGACATCCCACTGTAAATCTTAGATATGGGACACCAATAAACCCAAAGTACTGCAATCCACCTTGAATCCTGTAGAATGCCTACTCATCCCCTAGACCCCACAAATGCCAACTTTCAGACAATACCCCTTCAGACTTGCAGCAAAGACTCAGGCTTCGGTGCGACCATATCTTTCTGCAGCGTCCTCGTTGCCCAGAGGGCCTTCCTTTGCTGGATGTTAGGTTTTGCCGGGTTAGGGGTTTTAGGGTTTAGGGTTTAGAGCTTTGAAGGTTTTGGGATTTCCGGTCCGATTACCACGTCATTAAGGGGTCGGGTGCAAGGGGGATGGGTGCTAGGAAGCTTAGAAGGGCTTAGGAAGCACGAAGGAGTAGGTCGCATTGGGGATTGCTAGAGTACCTACCCCCTTGAACCCCTAAACCCTAAACCCTAAACCATGGGAATATGAGGCAAAGGACTGAGGTCCTACGAAGCGGTATACATTAGGTGGACCCCCCACCCAGTAATAGTGACTACTATGGATAACAAGGTTTTAGGGTTTAGAGGTTTAGGGTTTTAGGGTTTAGGGTTGGGGGTAAATAGTGACTATTATGGATAATAAGGATTATACTAGGGTCCTCTTATATTCCTATTATACCACTATTACAGGGTGGGGGGTCCTCCTAAGGTATACAAGCTACGGGGAAAGTTCTGATGGATGCACTACAACGCTCCTGAGCAAACAAACAATCTGTTTGAGCCCTTACGACTGGGTGATGTTCACAACTGGACGTTGGTACGTCTTACTTAAGCTGGCTATCTTTGCATCAGGGAAGGATTCAATATCCTTGCACTTGCCCACCCTTAGCATCAACTTCGTGCGTCACCACAACATGTAGAAATTGTACTCCTCCCGGCAGCTTTAAACTTCAAAGGGCCTTCTAAGAAACCAGACAAAGGTTAACCAGACAAAGGTTTCTGCACAGCGCTCTAATGCTCAAAGACTGTAACCACTAACTCTCCTCGATTTTCGAAAGCCCAAATGGTGCCAACCTGGTCTTGTAATCCAGAATTATACATTCCATTTCATTCTCATTTTCTTGTCCATGTGATTTTCCATTATCAGGGTAATATCCCTATACAACCCCATATAAACCCAAACCCTAAACCTTTAAGCCTGTATGACCCTGTGGATGAACCACTCTGTGATCATGCAAGGATCCCCCAAGCCCTCAATCATCAGTTCTGAAACTACCACTCAAGTTACTGTTACTATTACTATTACTAATGCTATGACTATTATTATTACTGTTACTATTACTATGACTATTTTGATGACTATTACTATTATGCTTATATTGACTATATATTATTTTGAATGGCATCCTTTGCCTTCCTGAAGCCTAGCTAAGGGAAAAATAGTCCAGAAAAGTGGAGAATCAACTGGAAAAGAATATGGAAAATATATTGGAAAGTAGGAGCTGATATATAGGTGTATGTATGTACATATATATATATATGGGAAACAACTATAGTGGAATATCAAATGAAAATGACATGGAAACTAATTTAGGGTTTAGGGTTCGGGCTCATGCAGTTGTCTGGAACGACGTCTCTGCGGCTCTTTTGACGCTTGGTCGTTCGGTGTGCTGAGAAGATGCGCACAATGTCCTGATGGCCCCGGAGGGACGCCAAGCACAGAGGTGTGAAACCCGAACTGTCTACTAAGCTGCTGTCAGCACGAGCCTGGGCCAAGAGAACAGCTGAAAAGGGGTTGTGTAGTATTTCCTAGTGCATCTGACATGATGTTGTAAGGGAATGTCCCGAGAAACGCCTTGTACCAGTACCACAAATGGACTTTAGACCCCGGAAGCTTCTTAGTCTACAGGCCATCACGGAGCTACAAGGTCGATAAGGATGTCGGTTTGACTGAGTCTTTGGTGTCTGAGCTTATGTTCACTATAACAATTACTACGCCCAAACGACTTCTGAACGAAAGCTGTGTAACGTGCAGCAACACTTGCACGCTTCGCAGTTCTCCAAGATCTGCAGCAATGTGGAGCGCTGTCTGACAGCCGAAGTCGCCCAAGTCGGGATCCGCATGCCTTGACCAACCACCAACAAGGAGCATAGAGACGGATACCCCGGGGAACATATTGGGGTATATAAGGATATATAGGGTTTGTTTCTTAGGGGTTGGGTCTTGGGCTCAGAAAACCCTCAAAGCCAATTGGCGTTAATTTCACGCGCTCCACGGGTGGAGCCCTTCGGGGGCTTTGGCAGAAGTAACTGTTTTCCAAAATTGCCGGGCGAAACCCGTTTACAGTAACAGGGTTGAGGTAAAAGTTTCTAAGGGTGTCGGGAATGTAGGCTGAAGCTCAGAGAGCGCAACTTGGATTTCTTGATGATCACTGGGGTGTCGCAGGTGTTCCGCTTCGTTTGTCCAGGCGTTGGCCCTAAAAAATGAGCATTCAAGGACACAGAATGCTGTCATCTGCATCCATGCCCCCAAAAGTGATGAAAGACTACAAACCTTAAACCCTAAACCCTAAACCCTAAACCCTAAACCCTAAACCCTAATCCCTAATCCCCTAACCTCCAAGAACCGGTCCGGTGCTGTAATTCTATCCCTCTACCCCCTCCCACAGTGGGAGATTTTAAATGGAAACTACTATAGTATAATAGGGATTATAATAGGGATTATATGGGGGTTATATAGGGATATAGGGATTATGTAGGGATTATAGGGTATATTTTGGGGTTATATAGGGATACTGGAAAAGAAAATGGAAACTACTGTAGCATAATAGGATATATTTGGGTGTTATATAGGGATAAGGATAAAGAAAATGGAAAGTACTGTAGTATAATAGGGTATATTTTGGGGTTATATAAAGGGATAGTGGAAAAGAGAATGGAAACTACTATTTAAGGTTTAGGGCTTCAGGTTTAGGGTTAAGGATTTAGGGTCAGGATGCTATCCAAGGCTTTCCCACGAAGCCCACAACACAGAAGGCAAAAGCAGATCGCTGAACTTTCAACAAAACCACAAAGGTTTCAAAGCACAACCACTTGAACCTTGAAAACCAGAAAGCCAAAACCCCCTGCTGCAGCACAGGATTTGTGCTCCTTGAAGTACCCATAAACCCTAAACCCCTGTCCCTAAATCCTTAACCCTAAATCTTAAACCCTAAACCTTAAATAGTAGTTCTCATGTTCTTTTCCACCATCCCTATACGTAGCCCCAAAATATACCCTATAATCCCTACATAATCCCTATATCCTTATATAACCCCCATATAATCCCTATTATAACACTATTATACTATAGTAGTTTCCATTTTATTTTCCATTATCCCTATATTATATAACCCCTATATTATTGGTCTATAGGAGCCCCAAGAAAGCGAAGTTCCCAAGCTCAGGAATCCAAACGTCCGCAA